AAATTTGATGCGAAAAAAGTAGAAAAATCCATAAAATTCTCAGGAAATTTGATGCGAAAAAAGTGAAAAATTAGTAAAAATTCTCAGAAAATTTGAAGCAAAAAAAGTAGAAAAGATTCCATCCCCCCTTCACTATCGGTCGGAGTACCACACGTTTTAATATTTTCGTCGAAATCGACCAAATTAATTTCAGATTTTTTATCCAAATTCGACACTAAAATAAAAATTTTCCATTTTTTTCGAAACAGAAAACCCGCTAAAAATAAACTTACCATTTTTACACCAATTATAATATTTCACGAAAGATTTCCCTATATACCAATTTTTCCGAAAATCATAAAAAATTCCCAATTTTTTTTTACTACTCTATAGCATTCCACACACTTCTTATAGTCTCTGGTGATACCAACAACGGTTTCATCGATGCCGCCATAGTATACCTAAAAAGGGGGACAAGGAAAAAAGGCTTCAAAAATTTAGTCGATCTCATTCCTCATCTTTCTAATTTTCCGAAAAAATTTCCCGGTAAATATTGTTTTACTTAAATTTCATATTTTTATAAATGAAAAATTCCCAAAAAATTTGAGAACTCTGGTCCGTTTTATTAAACACAATCTCCTCAAAAAAATCACAAAATTTACCACAAGTGATCTGAAAACCTCAAATTTTCCCGCAAAATTTGTCCGAAAATAACATAACTCCGCAAATTTTGCACCAAATTTTCCGCTAAATTTACCAAAATTTCCAAATTTTCCTTTTACTACTACCCTGCAAAACTGACCGCCAAAACTCCACTGCTGCTGAAAACCTCATCCGCGATATAATAAGATCCATATGCTGCAATAATAGTAACACCCAGTTGTATAATACCATCAATTTGTCCTTGATTACCAACACTCCGATTCGCTCGAGAGAGGCAAATTAATGCAACTCCACCGACCACAATTCCAATGAACGGTCCCAGTAGACACATTCTCAACATAAACATGGTTAACCGCATCGCTGTATATTTCGAACCAATTTCAAGATCCGCAAAAAGTGTATAAACTACCATCGCCGTTCCATCGTTAAGTATACTTTCCCCTGATACTTGATTTGTTAACACAGGACTAACGCCCAGATGGTGCAGTAGGGTAACCACCGCGACAGGGTCCGTAGCACTCAGGATCGACCCTAGGCACAGACACGTATAAAGATCCCACGACTTTGACAGCCCCAGTCCTGGTGCTATAACATAATACTGAGCTAATCCTATCGCGATTAAACTCAGCAAAACTCCTATTGTCGCCAAAATTAACGCCTGTTTGAAAATTTTCTTCACCAGCTGCGTGTCCAACTCCATACACTCGTTGAAGAGTAATACCGGTAAAAACAAAATCAGGAAAAGTTTCGGATCGACACTCAACCACATCGCCGTCGCAGTTCCGATCTGATTCGGGAAAAAATTTTTTTCTGCCAAAACCGCGAAAAACAATCCCTCCAAAAATACCACTACTGTGTATGGAAGATTCGGAGCGTACCGCGACAAGATCTTCAACGTGAAACAGCCCAACGTGAATGCCACCAGGAAATAAAGTACACCCAAAGGCGATCCGGAATCGTCCAGCATAGATTCAGCATTTTCTTCAGCAGTAGTAGCCGTAGTACTTGACAACAACAATAACATATATACTAATATGACCCGAAACAGGATCATGTTTATACAATTAAAATCTAGACAACAAAAGGAAAAAATCATTGGAGTTTCACCACCCTAGTGATATGAAAAACACTAGTGAAAAATATATTTCACGACTACTGCATATCACTGCGAATGTCGGCTTTTTTCACAGAGTATTACGCCACTTCACGTAAAAAATGGAAAGAAAAATACACAAAAAAATCTTGAAGAACTACATCGGAGAAAAATAAAGTTTCCATAATTTTCCCAATGCTTTCGCAGTAATAACAATTTCATGATGAACATATTGAAAATTTCATATAAATATGATTTGTGTTTTTTTCTAGCGCTAGTTTTCCTATAATCCTTTTTTCCGTCGATAAAAACGAAAAAAAAACCGAGAAAAAAAACGAAAAAAACGAAAAAAACGGAAAAATGTAAAAAAATAAAAACAAAAAAAGAGTAAAACTCCGTTGATGCTATATACCGACTTACACGAGACTTTCAAAATATTGGCCTATTCGAGTCGGCTATTTCCGATACCACGCCATCGTCCAAAGACTAATAAACTCAACAACTTCACCAAAAATAACAACAACAATTCGGATATGTTCATTCATGTCTTCTCGCCATCATCATCATCATCATCACTAAACTAACAACAGCAAAAACTTTGCGAAAAATTCAATTTTTTCCCCAAAATTTTCCCACCTCTGCATAATTAGCCCCCGGAATTTCCCTCAAAATATTCCTCTCCCACTCCCCGAGCTCCTCAACGCTTCCCTTAGCCGCTTGCTGTTCAGCCAGCCGGTCAACTTCCCGAAACGGTAATCTAAGTATTCCAAAAATTACAGAAAAAAACATCAGAAAAATTTAATTATGCATAGGAAAATTCCTCCACGAAAAATTTTTTCGTCAATTTTTTCACTACCTTTTCTGAACCAAATCTGGCCGCTCAGCTCGAAAAGATTCCCAACAGACGCTATTGAGAGGAGCCGTACGCGGATACATACCACGAATCTGACAATATTATGGAAAAAAAATTCGGAAAATTTTCCGGAAAAAATCCCAGCCTTACAAATCCTGCTCCAGGAATTAAGCCTCCTTCTTTGAAAAAACCGAGAGAAAACCTGCGGGAAAAAATAAAAAAATCCCACAAAAAAACTCGCGAAAATTCAAGTCGATTCTGATTAACCACTCTAAATTCACTCCAAAAACTATCAGAAAAAAATCTTCACTGTGCGCAAAAAAGACGTCACTTTACCAGAACGAAAATTT